CTTCTGAGAGATGAGGATGCCGCATAGCCACGCCACGCCGGACCCAGTCGTTCCATGCCCCCAGAAGCATATAATTCCGAACGATCCTGATCGCCTAAGTAAGCCGTTATTCACGAGAGGAGAGCACTATCAGCTGAGCCTGGGCCGTTCTACCCGCTGCGTGAGGCTCAGGCGAGTCCGGGGAAGGGACCAGGAACTGGGGTAGCTGCATTGGCGTCGGAAAACTAAAGCTTGTCGTCTCTGGCAATCTTGGCACCATCGTGGACTTTTCCGTCAAAGATCGGTACCGAGCGCCGGGCTGCATCCTGCCATGTCCTCTGGGTTTCGGGCTGGGTGACGTTGACGTTGGCGTTGAGAGCCGGCGATGTTTGCTCATGGTCTGCTCTCTCGACGATTCTGTTCAAGCAAGTCCACGAGCTTGCGTCTTCTCGCGTTCTCCTTCTTCGACCCATCGTCTCGACGAGCAACAAAGAGCAAACAGGCCAAGGGATCATGCCATCGGCTTTGGTCGCGATTCCCGTCTCATTCGCGATTCCCGTTGCGGGGGCCCTTCCGAGCAGGGCGGAGCGTCGTGCCCCGCGGCACCCCTTTCAGGTCCCCGACGGGGTCCAGGACACGGCCAGTCCTCGCGGGGGCAGAAACAAATAAAGTGCTGCCGCTCGATTGAACGAGGTGCCGGCTCTTGACAATGGTTTCCGGGGCATGTTTGGCTGCCGTCGCCGCGCACATTATGCAGGGCCATGGTGTGGAGGTTGCTACTGGGCTGTAGAGGGTCTGGTATCGAAGCCGCCACCATCGCCGTGTGGGCAGATCTATGTCGCATTTGAACCACAGAACTGCAGCCTCCAAGGGGAACAGGCTGCAGATCAGCCAATCAGGAGAGATGTTCGATTCTGCTCGTGTCTGTCTCTCGAAAACGCATGTTGAGGGTGGCCGTAAGGGGTCAGAGCGAGTTGCGAAGCTGGTGCTGGTGCTTGGGCGACACTCTTGGCCATTGATTGGATACAGGCGTTCTGCTGCCCTCGTGGCTGCTTGCGTACACCTTTAGCCTGTGAGCTATGAATTTGCATAAACGAATCACGCAGAGTTTCTGCCATGGCCACGGCGAGCTGCTCTCTCTTGGGAACCGTGTTGATGTAGACGCAATCGTTGTTTCTTCCACGTGGAACAGGTTCCGTACTGACGGAGGTTCAAATTCAAACGAGTAAGGCCCGAGCGCAATCTCAAGCACAGTGTATTCAAAAAGAGTAGATGAACCGCTACGTACAAACCTCATATAATCCTGTACAAGCAGCATGGGTCCAGTGACCCGGGGTATCTCCCATCAGTCCGAAAACGCCGAAGAAACACAGCGGACGCCGCCAGTCGTACACTGCTTGCCGTCCAGGAAGAAGCATGAAAAGAAAAGAACCAGAGAAGAAAGAAACCGGGAAGACCTCGCCTCAACAAGCAAGGAGGGAAGAAGAAGAAGGAGAAAGAAGAAAAACGGCGTGCACTAGTCTCGTCATCACCACGCATCTCTCAATGCCTCCTCAACGCACAAGATCTGGCGAAGGCCCACGTTGCCAAGCGAGCTTCTGCCGCCTCATCCGCCTCGCGTACAGCAGCCCGCAAACGTTGCAGAGCGTGTCCGCGCCGTCCGGGCCACGCCTCCACTGCGGCGAGACGGCGGTGCCGCACTCTTGGCACAAGGCGGAGTTCGCCTTTCTCTATAGGAGGTCAGCTCTCTGTAAGGCGTTTGTAGAATGAGTAGGAGAAAAGAGGGAGGAAAAGAAAGAGAGAGAACAAAAAGAAAAGGAAAAGAGAGAGAGAGAGAGAGCGAGAGAGAGAGAGCAGGAAGAGAAAAAACGAAGACGGAGAAGAAAAACGCACCTTTCGAAAGCCGCTCAAGCCGCCCAGCTTCTCGAGGTCACTCCTCGACGGCGCCGTGATGGTCGACCCCCGCCCCTCCTGCCGACGGTGATGCCTCGCGACCTCAGCCAGGCTATTTACAATGTCCCTCGACAGGCGCGACATGGCGACGAGATCGGCGGGCGTCGGGCTGCGGCGCGCGGCGCTGGGCACGGCGGCTGGCTCGCGAAAGCGCTCGGTGATGCTGGCGAGCTCGGCGGCGCGGTAGTGCAGGTCGGCGCTGGGGCTCGCGACGCGGACTTGTGGGGGGTCGGCCGACGAGGTGCTCGAGGGGGAGGGCGAGTAGGAGGCGCCGGCGCGGAGGGGCTCGAGAGCGAGAGCGGCCTCGTTGGCCTTGAGGTCGGCGAGCCAGAAGCGGTGGCTCGTTCCTACGCCGCCATCATGGCTCCGTGGAGGCCGCGGTGACCGGTTCGGGGGAGAAATGGTGGCTGCTTGGGAGTGGCAGCTTCGGCGGTGGACGACTGGCAGAGTCATTCAAGTTGTTGTCGATCAGGTACCCTCAGCAGGGTAGGTAGGTAGGTGTACCTTCGGTACCTTCGCCAACGGGAGAGGCAGGGTGAGGTACTCAAGGCAAGTAGGTGCTGGAGACGACGCGGGGTTGAAGATGGGGAAAGAGTTGTTTGGCCTATACACGGAAGAAAAAGGGCGAGTCTTGCAGGCTATATCGTGATGGTGATGATGTGTTGCGCAGCAAGTGTCAAATGGGGAAAACTCAACCTCCTCATCTCCATGGGTCTGTGTTGGTGGCGAAACACAGAAGGAAGCCGACTGGAACAAGCATCAGCAAGATGGGAAAGTCTCGAAAGTCGATTCCGACGAAGCCTGGTGGGGCGCGGATCAGACCCTGAGAAGTCCCTGCACACCCACACCGAACGTCACCTCGTTCCTCCTTTCTGCCAAGAGCCGACCCACCTGCCTCGCCCAGGCAGGTACCTACCTACCCAAGCTTGCCAAGCTACCTGGCACCCAGGCTGGTAGGCACCTCGATCAGGGGACGAGTCCCCTGGGCACCTTCCCTGGGGCGAGCTCGAACAGCTCCGAGTTGGTGCACAGTGCTCGGGTTCTCACGTCATTGGCAACCGTCTCGAGACCCCGCCTCTGGTGAACCCGCTAATGTCGCAGCCTTTGTTCCGATTGGGGGGCGCTGAGAGGGGGGGGGGTCTCCCCGGCGTCCCCTTCCAGTTGGCATTTGTCTGGTATGAGTGGGGTGGTTGCGCTGTCAGACTTCATCAGTCCACCGCCTTGTCCTATTCGTTCTGCTGCGGCCAAGTTCCAGTTGCAGTGGTAGCACGAGAGTGGCGAGACCACCTTACACACGACAGGCCCATTGTTTTGAGGACCAATATGCCCTTTTCCCATCATGATCACTTCCTGCCAACTTTTTGCTACCGCCGGTCAGATGTCTCGACTGGTGAATGAAATTCAAAAGGCCCTCTTCTAGTCCTATTATACACACAAACACCGTAAACGAGCTTGCAACCCTCGACAATGAAGATACTCCTCGCTGTTTCTCTACTCGACGACTGCAATCCTACAAAAATGATACACGAACGGCCTGGGCGTTTCAGAGACATTCTGCTCCGCCTTGTTGTCCTTCACTGTTTACCCAAGTCTTGGATGAACCCCTCTCCGTCCCCCAGCGGGACAGATGATCCGCCTGTGGCACACGCTATTGATATGAGAATTGGCCTCTTCCTCACGCCGGCCCGCGAGCTTTGACACTCTTTCCTTTTTTTGCCAGCCCTTCGCCTGATCCACTTTGAAACCGTCACCCATCTTGCCATTCTCGACAACGGGCTTTGAGCCTGTCGCTTCGAGGCAGTAGAACCCGTAATTTCCTCTTGTTTCCTCTCTGCAGGCGGCAGTCTCTCTGCTTTCCCATGCCGTGTTTGACGCGGGGGTGCTCGGCTTCCATGTCCAATCGTGTTCACCGCTTTGCCTCTTATGTTATTGGTGCCAGGCTAAGAAGGGGACGGGCATGTTTGTGAGACTCATCAACAGGCTGTGTTGTCGAATGACCTCGCTCTCGACGCTGGCTCGTCCAGCGCGGCCTCGCCAGTGGCGACACTTGTGCATCCGTTTTCCCTAAGGAATGCAGAAATCAACCCAGCTGCCCAGGTAGTCCAGCCGGTTTCCGGCAATCTCGTGGCTCTTGTAAATGTCCTCAAACTCCTCGAAGCTCAGCTTGCCCCAGCCGCCACGCTCCTCGGCCTCCTTTTCTGCCACGTCGAGTCGCTTGTAACCGATCAGAACAGCGTGGGAAACTTCCTCGTCCGCCTGGTCAAAAGATCCCTTTGCGGTCTTCAGTGTCGATTCGGCTTGTTTGCCAGACGCGCCAGCCGCTGTCGCAACGTCCGTCTGGGCCTTGTCATCGTGGGGCTTGACATCACTGTTCGGCCGGAACTGGGGCATGGTTGGGTCCCGGTGGGGCTCCTGGGGTCCTTCAACAGGCTCATCGTCCGCATCTTTCGCCTCATCAACGGACCCTGCTGCTGGTTCCTCGCTGGCAGGTTCAGGCCTGGCTTCAGGGTCCGCTGCATGTTCAGCGTTCAGCATCGCTTCGGGCACCAGATCTGTGTCGACCGTGTAGCCGCTGACGTGGAGCAGCTCGTCCAGAGACCGACCATCAGGTTGTCTCTTTTGGATGACGGGGCTGCCTTCAGCAGAGGTGTAATCAAGCTCTTCGACGTCGTCAAGCTCTTCGGCGTCAATGTCCTCAAACAGTGACCGATACTTGTTCCTGGACGCTCGTGTTTCGGCAGCCTCAAAGGCAAGCTCTTCCTTTTTTTTGAAGATGGCGTCCAGCAACTCATTAAAAGCCTGCTGCGTCACCTGGTAGAGGATTTCCTTGCCCGCATCCCGCTCCTCGTCCGGGATCTCAAGGCTGTGCGCTGGCTGGGACCAATGGGACTGAGATTCATGCTCTGCCCCATCTGCCGCGAAGCGCACCTTGGACGACGATCTGGACCGTGGTGCCGCCCCTGAGTTCTGGACCGCCTTTGAGCTGCCAGCAACACCGTTGAGATTAGCAAGAAAGTCCTCGTCCTCGTTCCAGCCTTCGGGCGCCGCGCCACCCTCCTCTTCATCAAGGTAGAAGTTGCGTCTCTTCCACCGCTCGTGGAGCAGCCTTCGTGTCTCCGCACGACGGCTCCGATCGGCAGAACCCAGTCGCCTTCGTTCAGACATGAAGCGGGCTCGTAATTGGCTCTCGGTCGGTATTGTGCTCGTGTAGTGGCTTGGGTCAACTCTCGATGGGGAGGAGTCTTCTCCGTTGACGACTCGCAAGCCGTCTCCTGCTTGGGCAAGAGTTCCCCCGTCCAAACGATTGGCGGGAGCACTCTCTTCCTCGGGACTAGTCAGTTCGGCCTCCTCGGGATCCTCGTCATCCTCATGGCGTCGAGAACCTATCAAGAGGGCGGGCAGCTCATCGAGGGTACGTGGTGGATCGAGCAGAGCATCCCAGTATGGTTGACTATCGGGCGAACCCATCTGCGCAGGCCACGATGTGTGGCCTAAATTCATGTTGTCTGTGGCAGCGAACAAGCGAGTCAGGACGTCTTCCCTCGCCGAGGTGTCGCCTCGATCCGCATTGATGACTCTGGACTCTCCTTCTTCCAATTCCACGTCCCCGTTAGGGTGGAAGACTTTGCCTTCGCCCGTCAGATCACGATTGTCGCGGGGGACACGTGCTTCACGGCCAAAAAGACTGCTCAGGGGCTGCCGACTGGTGACAAGTTGCTGGGCTTCCTGGCTGCCCATGAGCTGGTCATCGAGTCCGTCGAGGATATCGCGATGCATCTGCTTGTACAGCACGTAATATGCGCGGAACATGCGTAGAAAGTCGCGGCGGTTGACAAATCCATCACCGTCAATGTCGTAGCCCTGAAATATCCTGCGCAGCTTGTCGCGGCGTTTTCGGTACGCTAGCCCTTGCAGGAACTCAGCAAAGCCAATGAGGTCGTCGTTGTTCGTGTCGTAGAAAGAGAACATGCGGTCATGTATAAGATTGGGCGTGGCGTGTCGCGATCCGCCCGAGGGGACCAGGCATCGTTCGAACGTCTTTTTATCCATGGCGAGTTGCAGACCATCAGGATCCTCCCTCCATTCCGTGTTGGCCATGAAGGTGAACTGCTCCCAGAAAGCCTCGATCTCGGGTCGCTCAAAGCCGGTCTCCTTGCTGAGCTTATTGATGAGGCCCCGCGGCAGATTCTTGATACAGGTGTCTGGATCACCAGCGTACCAGACGGGCTGCATCTGACGAGGACCGAAGGGAGGGGCAGGGATCTTGATCTTGTAGAATATGTGAGTCTTGATGTGGACGCCTTGGGATTCGCACGTCTCGCAGAGGTCGAAGTCGGCGCAGTTCGCGCACCGGTACCTCACGCCTCTGATGGGTACCATGCCGCACGAATTGCAGGCGCAGCCTCGATGCACACAGGCGTTGCGACGGGCATTGTCCTCGGAGACGCGGAAGAGAAGGCTGACAATGTTGTGACCAGCGCGAGCCGGCGGCTGCATGACGTTTGGATCGTTCCACCACTCCTCGACAAGTGTGTCCCCGTCGTTGGCGGCCTGGGCGGGTTCAAGGGCATTATTCTCATCGGTGTGAGAGGCGTAGGAGGAGGCGGATGCCCGACGGGAGCGTCGTGAGCGTCGGACGGCATTGCTCCGATGGAGCCCTTGGCCGATCAGAGCATTGTCATAGTCGCCCTGCGACTGCCATGCATAGTAGCCTACAGACGCGGCCGCGATGGCGGAAACGACGGCGACGGCGATTCGCGGCCGCGTAAGACTGTCGGAGGATGGCGCGAAATGCCACATATTGCTCGTCAGGATCTACGGGAGGACATGTTCGACAGAGCAGTCTCGTGAAGTGGCGTCGATATCTCGCAGGGAGTGCCCTGAAGTTGTGGGTGGTCGTCGAGGGTGCGTTATCGCCAATGATCAGATTCGATGCTGTGATGCGATGGATGGTCTGGATAGGAATATCCAAGTGGCAAGCTCGACGCTGAGGAGCTGCGCCGTGGCTCCTGCCAACAGGGAGCCAAAAGCTCCCCCAAACGGCAGGCGGTGAATGCTACCCTTGGCACTGTGCTTGGGGCTCTTGCTCCCCCCAGCACTCGACGTGATGTCACTCAGCACAACGCAAGAGAATAGGTACTTACAAGGTACTTGTGCTGTCGCCGGCTACATGCAAGATCTCAGCATATAAAATTGCACTTTGACTGCCCAGGCTGCTTTCGCTTTTTCCTTTAATGTGGTGTATCTTGATGCGCAGATGTGTCAAGCTACATGCAGTTGCTGGACAGTATCTCCTACGAATGGTGTGACTAGTAGTAGCGCATGTCGAAATAGCGAGCCGAGGCACTGCCTAAAGGGGGAAAGCACTGTGAACACCATCCATCCCGCTGCTGTCGTCCCCTCCAACCAACATCACTCACACCTGCAGTCTGTCGCGGGCTGTTGCCAATCTCAAATAATATATATGAACGGCACGAGTCCAACCAACACCTGAAAGGACAAAAAAATCTGGCGACAGAGCTGTTGCGATAGCAATTGAATCCCAATCCGTTGTTCTTCATCGCCCTATCTGATTCTCTCTGGCGCTCATATCCTGTCATTATTGCACGTGCATCTTTGTCTGTCTTCGTTAAACCCGCCGCACGTTCTCAAGACAATTGCGCACTATCAGAGTTCACATCCGAAGGCAAACCCCGAAAAATAATGGCAGAATCGTGAGATACACAGGGGGACATGTATATCCGCGCTTGAAGATACTGACACGGTCCAGAAACCCCTTTCCCTCCGCCGAGGAGACGATCAATCACCCCGCCTACCCTGGGGCTGTCTGGAATCTTGAACCTCACAAGAAGGGCCTCCTCCCCTGTGCCAAAGACCGCGGCGGTCCGGTCAACATCTCATGGGAGGTTCACGGTGATGGACCCCGCAAGATCATCGTGCGCCGCCCAAGGCCCTATTACCTCGTCTCTTTTCTTTGCCCTTGCTAACACTCCCAGCTCATCATGGGCCTTGCTGGTCTCGCGACATCCTGGCAGCGCCAAACTAAATATTTTGGCCACGACCACGGCACTGAGAACTCCGTGCTCCTCATCGACAACCGCGGCATCGGCCTCTCAGACAGCCCCCTGCAGCGCTACACTACGTCGCAGATGGCCCGCGACGTTCTCGAGGTCATCGACCACCTTGACTGGACGGCCCCGCGCTCCCTCCACATCACGGCCATCTCTCTTGGCGGCATGATCTCGCAGGAGCTCGCCGTTCTCATCCCGGAACGCATCGCTTCCTGGACCCTCTTCTGCACGGCTGCGACCATGGAGACCAACAAGACCATCGTCTCCACCCTGCGTGAGCGCCTCACGCTCCTCGTTCCCAAGTCCGCCGAGCAGGCCATCCGTGAGACCGCCGACCGCCTCTTCACCAACGACTGGCTCATCGCCCCGGACGAGGCCGCCGATGTCCCCATCCCCGGCACGACGCCCCGCTGCGGACCCCCGCCCAGCGCCGATCGCTACGTCCC